TTGAACTAAACAATGAAGGATGTTTGTATTCTGTAATCAGATAGGCCATTAATTGTTATTTTTTGTTTGGTACGTGAACTCGCTTGACCTTTACTTCCGGATCTACCGGAAGGTCAAAGTTAGGTGAATTCAAAATGAAGACGTTAGCTTGACATCAAAACAAAGCAACATTTCTTCCGAACGGTTCACGGTATGATCACAAAACCTTGTGTGAACTTGTACCATGTTACGAAGATGTTTTAAATTTTGTTACATCATCATGACGTCATCAGGTATCAAATTACAAGCGATTTAAGGGAAAATGTTGACAAAATAGTTTGCGTTATATCTTTTGAACTAAATAGAGTATCGTGTTCGTTTTTTTCGTGAGGTTGTAGACTATGCCGTGAGAAACATTTTGTGTTCCCAGACACAAAACCGCTTGATCTTTTCTTCCGTTGTTACCGGAAGTGCAATAAAAACTGAATACAACTCAAAAGTGGAAGCATTTTACTACAGACACATATTATGAGAGTGTTTAGTGAAGAATGCCAGACACAAAAACAGTGCGATGACGTCATCATCCAAAAGAGCGCCCCCTAGCGGCACATAAAATATTGTTTCTTTTCTTTACTTTTAAAATCATAGGTTCAAATTTTACCAAATCGACCCTTGATATTCTTTGATTAACCACGTATAACTGGGCAAGGTTTCAAATTCATAACGTCATCAGACCGGAAGTTATTTTTATTAGAATTTGCCAACGATCATATTTTAAATTTAATTCTATCATTTGATCCATGTCGTATATCTTAGCCCAAATAACGATACCGTTGCCATGTTCACCTTTTGCTTCCAAATACTGTGACGTCATCAAACCGGAAGTTCGATGTTATGAATACATACACTTATATTTTCCAAATTTTCATACGTTATTTAACTTCACAATGAACATCCACTCCGAACTAAATCAGTATTCACTTCCCGTTTTTGACTAATGACGTTATCAAGCCAGAAATAACTTGTATGTGTACATGGAATGTTTACTGAAATTTAATTGATTGTCCTGGAAAGGATTTAATTGCCTGATACTTTGTTCTTACATAAAAAAAAATATTCATAACTTAACTAGACAGTGTTTCATAAAATAGTTGTCTACCCGACCACTCTGCGTTTGTAACAACAAACGCGAATCTCTAGTATTTTATTTAAAATGTAACACATTGTATATATTTGATATTTAATTTAGTATTTGCAGTTTTATGTGAATTAATAAATACATTGCAATAAAATGTTCATTTTAAATGTTAAAATTGTTTCCATGGCAATATTACATTTTTCAATGTAAAGTATAGTTGCCATAAAACATTAACCAGTGTTCCTACTTCCCAAACGTCTTGAATCTTATTGGGAAGTTCCCAGTAAGATTCAAGACGTTTGGGATGTAACTAGAGACATACATATAATTTCCTTTTACTTTACCAAAAATAAAAAGAACTTCATTTGAAGTACCAAAAATATCACAATATTAATATTACGTATTTAAATATAACGTTATTATTGTTGTTATTATTATTATTAGTTTGTCATTGCAACAGAAAAACACAATACAAAACATGATGACTGGAACTTAGAAAGTGAACCTTACCACAATTGCCCACAGGCATTGAGCAAGGGCGGATCCAGAACACAATTTAGGGGGAGCAAACAAATGTTGTTCCCCAAAAAGTCTGTCCAAAAAAATTACGGCCGAAAATGCTCCCAAGACAATAAAAAAAACGAACCCATTCATTAAAACGAACATTAAACATACAAACATTAATAATACACTAGGATATAAAAATACACAAGGATACAAAAATACCTTTATATATGTATAAACAGTTACACGCTAAAACAACAATAAAAGTACTGCTAAAAATTACCAAGGTTAAGTCCTTTTTTATCTTTACCTGCTCATAAACATTTCCATTTTTAAATTTGGAGGCAAACTCGACCCTAAAGAGATTTTTACAAACGCTCCTAAAGAGCATACCACCAGATGCGTAATAGAAAAATCCAGATTTTGTTTCCAAAAATCGGGAAATGCATGAAATGGATTATCATGATGTAGAACCAATACGAGCAGTAAAACGAAAAAAATCAAATTTTTGAATCGTTTTGAGATTTACACACAAAAAAAATAACAAAAAATATGACAACATTCTGATAAAAAATAAAAAGGTTTCAATTCAGAACACAATATAAAATTGTTTGGTAGAATCATATGACATTTTGAGGAATAAGCTGAGATAATTGCGGTATTAGACAGATAGAACCAGTGTTTGTGTGGGGAAAACACACAAAACAAGTACAAGAAGGCGGAGCCTCTGAACCCAAAGAGCAAAGAAAGGGGGGGGGAAGCAAAGGTGGCTGATGGGGTTGTGATAGGTTAAGTTTCATGGGGGAAAAAATGCCTTTTCCCCGGTCAGAGGTGGAATCGAGAATGACGCGACGCCAACTATTGCGTGCTATCAACATGTACGCGGAAGAACTTTCCACCAATGACCACCAGCTATTCACGCGCTCAGCTTGTGACGTAATCGTAAACAACCACATCAGGGATATTCTCAAAATTCTCGAGGTGTCCGCGCGTCCATAAACATGATTAAACTCCGCTTAATCATCATTTATAGTCAATGGTATTGGTTTCTAATAGGTTAGTGGAGTTTTCTTTCAAGGCGACACCCAGCTATCCCAAAAGGTGCAGCGTTGCCGAAAGTCCGCTGTAAGGGGACCCCATAAAAGCGCGTCTTTTTTCTCAGTTTCTTTATCAAACAAATGAACATTGAAGATTATTTGACTTTGGCAAAACTTAAAAACGTCCGTCAGTTTCATTTTAACGCATTCAGCATAGCAGTTTTCACCCTAATTCAGGTTAAAATATGATTTTGATAGTGATTCTTGATGTAAGACATCATTATGTCCCGAACAAAATTGAATATGATGGGGAAATTGTGAACTTTTTACATGTTTGACATGTAATTATAATGTTTTTAAAATAATAGTTGTCTTTTTGTGTTGCATGTCTAATAACAACCCAAACACGTATCAATACAAGCTTTGATTACAATTCATCGTGCGAAACAATCCTTTAATCGGAAGTGATTAAGCACGTGCATTCTGTTGTCCAAAAGTTGGTGTTCTTTATAAAAGTCTTCATTATGCAGCCTTTGCGGGAGAATAACTTGAGTTCCCTCATGTCAGCGCGCGTCTGTTGTGTATTAAAACAGAGGATACAGTATTTCACACTGGAGATATGGAAAGCCCCCATAGTTTAAATCCGTTTCCCCCGGACGATGTATCCCACTAATATTTTGGAAAGAATCCGTAACAGATATTTCCAAAAACAAAACTTCCACCAAATGTCAACGTTTTCTGAACAGCAGAGGGTTTTTTTAAATCACAATTTTGAAGTACCTTCTGTTCTGCACCTCCACCTTTCAATCACAACCATGTCATATTAACCTACGCGCAATGGACAGACGCAAGGATGCACAGCACTTTAAGTACATTTTGAACCAAAAGTGCACTTTCAATGCATGTGTTTTAAGCATGGCCAAACTGTACACCCTGGGTGAAGTTTTTTACATTTTGAACTATACTTTTGTTTTACTTTTATGTAATCTGGCATGATCAAGATTCGTAAGTAGGTTAACTTGTGTGGTGAATAAAATAAAATTTCAGTTGTGCAGTGTAGGCTAACGTAGTCTCCTTACAATAGGTCAAGATATTAAAAAAAACCACTGTATTCAAAATAATGATTTGAGCTAATCTGCGTATTTTTGCACAAAATATGTTACTTTTTCAGTATGTAAGTAGTTATGTAAGTATTTAATCAGTGACCCTGCAAACCATGGGTTTGGTTAAGTTTGATTCGTAATGACGAATGCCTATTTGCATATCATGCAAAAAAAAAAAAAAAAATAAGTCATTGAAAAACGGTATCAATATATTTGTTTACCCCCAAACATGGTCTGGGTACCTCCATTGATAAGTTTTGATGAAATCCTGTAGGGATGTATACACAACTTATATTTGTCCTTATGGCGGAAGCTCATTTTCATATTTTATTGTTTAAAAAAATGCTCAAGGGTGCCAAGGTGGCACTCGTCGGAATATTGATCTACAGCTCCAAGTGACAAGAAAATGCAAAACATTTTGTGCGCACCCTAATTCACGGTCCACCTCAAAATTAGGGGTTGACCCCCGGACAGTGGAGTGTCCGGAGTGGCGGCTGCCACATAATAAGTGGCGAATCGCCGCATAACAAGCGGCGGCTGCAACATAAGTTATAACAAGCGGCGGCCGCAAGATAACAAGCGGCGGCCGCGAGATAACAACAGCCGCCACATAATAAGCGGCGGCCGCCACATAATAATTGTGAATATGTTTTTTTGTACGTGTGAAATTTTTTTTTTTTGTACAGCGGCCGCCACTTATTATCTGGCGGCTGCTACATAATAAGTGGCGGCCGCTGTACCCAAAAAAATATGTTCACACGTACAAACAAAATATATTCACCCTTACTGAGTGGCACTATCCGTCTTCCGTATAAATAAGCCGAAACACTGAAGTATATAATAGATAATGAATGATATATAACTAATTTTGTTAGGTAATTTATTGACACATGGCACCTTATAACGTATTAGTATGCTCCCACACAAGAACTAGAGCTCACTTTTCACATCCATAAGGATACAGAGCCAGTCTGGGCCATGGGGCCAGCGGCGTAGCCAGGTTTCACCACATTGGGGGCGGGGCCTATTTCTGTTAAACCCGTTAATCATGGTCACATTATACTACTAAGTACTAGGCAACATATTTCAAGTGGGCGGGGGGGGGGTGGGGGTGGGAACTGGAGGGTGTTTGAGTGCACCTCATTCCCCATCCCCCCGACTACGCCGCTGCATAGGGCTATACTTGTACCTCAATAGCAATATTTCAAAATGTTTTTGGGAACTTTTCCCCTTTACCAGGTGACTTGAATGAAATAATCAAATCCAACCGGCGGGACGGACAGCATATCACGGAGAATTGCATCATGGACTGGTTTGTTCAGATCTGCTTCGCGTTGTGTTACATACACGCCAAGAAGATCCTCCACCGAGGTGAGAACAGTAATGTGTCAAGGCGCGGATCCAAAGGAGGGCGGGGGGGGGGGGGTGGTCAAATCCCCCAGTTCTGCCTTTGTTCATGGAAATACATTAAAAACAGTTTGACCCCCCTGCTCTGACACTCCAAAACAATTATGACAACAATACTGGTAACTAGAAATTCGCGTTTGTTGTTACAAACGCAGAGTGGTCGGGTAGACAACTATTTAATGAAACGCTGTCCAGTTAAGTTATGAATATTTGTCATATAAGAACGAAGGATCACGAAATTAAATCCTTTCCAGGGCAATCAATTATTTTGTTTAAAAAATGCATTTTGAACGCTTTGATAAATTTCAGTAAACATTCTATGTACTCATACAAGTTATTTCTGGCTTTATAACGTCATTAGTCAAAAACGGGAAGTGAATACTGATTTACTCCGGAGTGGATGTTAATTGTCAAGTTAAATAACGTATGAAAATTTTGAAAATATAAGTGTATGTATTCATAACGCCGAACGTCCAGTTTGATGACGTCACAGTATTTGGAAGCAAAATGTGAACATTGTAATGGTATCGTTATTTGGGCTTAGTTATACGACATGGATCAAATGAATTAAATTTAAAATATGATCGTTGCAAAATTCTCCTAAGTAGCTTCCGGTCTGATGACGTCATGAATTTGAAGCCTTGCCCAGTTATATGTGTTTAATCAAAGAATATCAAGGGGCGATTTGGAAAAATTTGAACTTAAAGAAAAGAAACACTATTTTATGTGCCGCTAGGGGGCGCCCTTTCGGATGATGACCTCATCATACTGTTTTTTGTGTGTCTAGCATTCTTCACTAAACACTTTCATAATATATTTATTACGAAACCAAAGAAAAAAGCCAAAACGTGTAATAACTTTATCCTACTGTCTATAGATCTGAAACCGCAGAACATCTTCATGACGAATGAGGGAATCATTAAAGTGGGTGATTTTGGCATAGCTCAGATGCTGCGTGGCACCAGAGAGCATGCCCATACTGCCATTGGAACACCGTATTACATGTCGCCAGAGATATGCAGGCGAAAACCGTATCCTTTTGTGAACCACAACTTATAAAAACATATAGATTGCCTTTGACAGAAGAAAACATGTCCTCACCAACGCGTTTTTAATATTGTTTAGTCATTCAATGACCATATCGATTGGTCTTACTGAAAAGAATTAGGCGGCCAAACTGGTGATGGGCTGGATTCAGGTTTATTGATTGACTCCGAGTATGGGGTACAGGGTTGGTGGTCTGCGAGCATAAGCCTGTGGTGTTTGTGGGCGTGGCAGGTGTAGTGTGTTTCTAAAAGAGGGACAAACACAAAGGGGAACTACTTAATACGTGCAAAGACCTAGGAAACCCTATTCATAGGGTGCAACCCTGCATTGAACTTCCCATAGACACTAGTGCTAAATGCCCATACTTCAAAATTCATTTAAAATACTCAGAACTCGCACGGGTATTTAGGAGCTGCACAGAAAAATGATGATCAACATGTCATCTTTCATTTTCTTTTTATTTTTTGGTGGGTTGACCATTGACTTTTTGAGAAATTCTCACCTAAAGAAGACGACCCCTAATTTCCCCAAAGCTGAAAGATAGCCATCTTGAAAAAAACGATCCCTTCACACAACAAAAGAGTCACTTTCAAGCCCAATTGCATCCAAAATGCTCAGAATCGGAAGCATCAAGTCTGGGCCAGAGGTTCTTTGCCGTATCTTTTCAATTTCCCAAGTTTATGGCTCTTCATGAGCTCGGCGGATGGATTTAGGCCTATTTACCGGTGTGAACCCATAAACATCAACAAACTTACCTCAAAATCCTGACGTAGTCTGGTTCCCAGAGATTACAATTTTCCCTGACGTCCAGACGTCTAAATTGAAGGTCAGGCAGCCCCCGTGGCTAAAAATAAACATGCCGACATTGACGGCCCTTTTTCTGAGCTTTTAATGTCCCGATCAAATTTTTAAATAAATAACTTGCTTCACATAATAATCATACAGTTATGAAATAAAGTTTTATATTTCTGGTAGAAAAACACTGACTAATGTTGACCTGGAAAGGTAGACACCCAAATAGCACTGTTTTATATTGGGTTGTGAGAAGTGTATTTGGGTGTTTTAAATGAACGCAATTTAGAAATCAACAAAAACTCGCACGATGACATCATCATGACGCCAGTTTCATTTCCATGTAAAACAGGGCGATTCATAAATTATGCATCTTAAAGATGGCATCACATGACAAATACTGACGTAATTTCGACGTCACCTGTTAAGGAATTATATTAGCTTAGGGTCTTGGTCTGTGCCTAGTTTGAAGTCAATCTAATTGCATTTAATGTCAATTTTTGCAATTAAAAAGAAATACCAAAATTTTAAAAATTAATAAAAACTCAGTTGATAACGCCATTTTGACGTCACTTAATACTTTAAATACTATTATCAATAACTATCCACCCACAAAGTTTCATAACGATTGCACATTCCCTCATATTTTCAGAAAATCACGTATTTGATAACGTCATACATTTTTTGAATTGTGCACATATATCTATGGCCTACTGAACCTAATACACCAATAAATTTTAATGTAGCATGTTTAGTTCAGAATATAGAGATGAGCTGAAAAATCAATAAAAATCCACATGAAGCCGTCATCATGACGTCAGCTCAAGTATTTTTCATCTATAACACATCCCGCTTTGTCTACATACCAAGTTTCATTGGAATCGGTCTTGTAGTTCTCTAGATATAGGCCCTTGAAAAAAGGAACTTTTATGATAAACATCACATGAAACGTGATGGCGTCATGATGGCGAAATTCTTCTAGGACCATCCGTGAGTGCTTGTCTAAGTAAGTGCCAAGTCTGAAGCCTACCGGATTCACGAAAGTGCCAAATGTTATTGTTTGAAGAAAAACGTGTAAAAAACCTTTGGGGAAAAATGCATCTTTAATGTGATTTTAACCTGACACCTGATGACGTCACGATTACGATTTGCTTTAAGTCGGTATCTTAAAAAAAAAGTAGCGAAAATCACTTAGCTAACGCCTTTCCAGATGCCCGACAAGGTACACTTCAGCGTGTGTTCCACTTCAGTGCCGTATAACAATGCGCACACACTGTATGTACATTGTACAACACGCGTATTACACGTACATGTACATGTACATGTGTGTGCATGTATTGCAGAGCATGTGCATACATGTGGTGCAAAAGTTAGCAATTCCGACTTGATCAATCTGCCATCAGCACCCCCCCCTCGCGTGCACGCGCCTGTATTCATCAATGCATAATTATGCAGCAACATCTCTATGCATATGCAGCAACATCTCTATGCATATGCAACAACATCGCTTGACCAATCAAAGTAACCGTTTTTCGAAGACTCGTTTATTATTTTCAGTATAACAATCTGCAAAAGTTTAAAAACGTAATCTTAATTTGTAGATTTCAAACACATTATATTGGGATGATAATGCTAAGATCAGCTGCTCTTGGATTGAAATAATAAAGAATACGATATTCAAATCTTATTTAAAACAAAAGGGAATTTTTATTGGGGTTAACCTGTAAAATATGTTGAGAACCATTGATACCGCTTCGTGCTGTGCATACCCAGAGCCGTTTCAAAGCATTCGAACGTACGCGTGCGTGTATCTGTTTCTACCACTGATCTCTATCTTTATATAGACCGCTTGCAGATGCGTTCGATAATCGACGCGCGGAGGCGCGCGACGCCATGTTGTGGGACAAGCGTATATCTATCTATGCATATTTTGTCCCATAACATGGCGTCGCGCACCTTCGCGCGTCAATTATCGATCGCGTCTGCAAGCGGTCTATAGAGATCAGTGGTTTCTACTCCTCACCATGGGATGCGTGTGCGTCTTCCACGAAACTTTGGATGCGCGAATACGCAGACAACGCTGATTGCGTGTAAAGAATATTATCAAAACAATCTGCGCGCGTTTTTAAGAATAAAAACGCTCATTACCTGAAATACTGTGATGTGATTGGCTTCTACCGAAATCGGTAGAAGCCCATCACATCGAGATTTTTTTTTTCGCACACAGGTGTTGTCTGCATTATGTTCATCATACATACTAATTTTGAAGCGATAACCAGAACTTTCGCCACACACGTCAACTGAAAATAAAATTGTTGACATTTTCAACCTGCCGCTAGAGGGCGCTCAAACATCTTATGACGTCACCGGCATATTTATTTTGTAAAGTACAGCCTATCCAGAGACTAACATCGTTTTAAGCAAGTTCACATCTTTTTCCACTTTCAAATTATAAGGCACTTCCGGTTTGGACCGGAAGGAAGGGTCACGTGAATTTACGAGTCTCTCACAGTATATTTTGTATTGATTTTCAAAGATCAAATCCAATAATCTTAGGTGTGAAGTCACGTGACCATGATGACGTCATCACGACGTCAGTCTTCTGGGCACATCTATGCTATAAGGACTATACCTATGCTGACTTTGAATGATGTACCCTACGACACAGATGAATGGCAAAAGTGAATGCGGAAAAAACAAAATTCAAAGTAAAAAAAAACTTAATGAAAGCAAGAGCTGTTATGGTGCTACCGAAACAGCTAATAACAATATTTTTTTTTCGTGCGGCTGCTAAAAACAGGCCTTCTATATTGTACCGACGCTTATCTCCCGAAATTCTTGTTTGTTTGTTTTCGTTGGAAGCAATAAGATTGCTGAAAATTCTAAGTAGGGTGAATAACAACTAAAATGGCTTATATCCATTTTGAGAAAACAGTTGCACTTTTTAAAGTTAGCCAAGATTTGTTTTACCTGTCATCCATTGTCCTATAAAGTCTGCACTAGTTGCGACACTATTGCCGACATTATTCTTTGCCTTCTAACTCACCTATGGAGCATCGACCAATGAAAGAAGCAACTGTTGTGATACAGCCATGTCAGTAACTGTGATTGCTCGCCATTATCAATCCGTTGCAAGTATAATATATCCCTTTTATTGTGTTAATTTATACAATGATTGCACATGGTTTACCGATGCTTATCCAAGCGATACAAATTGCCGCATGACTCCGCCTTATTTACGCATTAGGTCTGTAAAGCATTGCTTTGCATCGTTATTCCTTAGCTTTGTCAGCTACAATCATAAGAGTGACATGTGGGCAGCTGGGTGTGTCCTATATGAGATGACGGCACTGGTTCATCCATTTGAAGCCAATGACATCTCTTCGCTGGTCATCAAGATCACGAGAGGAAATTACAAGGCAATACCAAGGTATGTGATATTTCTGCAAATAATTGTGTATTTGGCGCTGTCTTCTCTGATTATACAAATCTAAATATGTGCTGATCTACGGAGTTAACAAACTTGGTTGCCACATTAATAAGAAGCCGGATGGGAATTTCCCCGTGTTTTCTCCCAAAAGGATTTTTCGCGGGTTTTCGCCCCTCCCGTAATAATTATAGCAATACTCTTTTCTTGATGTTACAAGATAGATCCAAATGCTTCGTGTTCACTGAATCCACCTTACAGTAAAACCTGTTAGCGGTGTTGTTTCACACTGTTCATGTAGTTATAATAGTTTTACAATATATTGTATTTATAATTATTTGCTTAACAACAGACTATGCATTAATCCAAAAATGCTTAATCCCAATGTATTGAATTGTACATGTATTGTATTTGTAATGTATTGTACATGTTTGTAGTCATTTTTTATTGTATGCAGGGCCCCAATGGAAACCAGTTTTAAACTGTTTTGGCATATCCTGGGTAAAGAAATGTAATAAATAAATAAATAAATAAATAAATGTAGTGTCAAACCTTAATCTCGATTGCTGTTTCGATACAATATGCAACTCCCAAGTTACTGGCCCGCAACTTCTCGAGCGTGACTGTAAAACACTAGGGCCAAATTTCTTGGCACTGTTAACCACAGAATTCCTCGCTTACGACCACAAATTTTGTGCTTACCGCACTAGCAGAAAAATTCTGTGCTAACCCGTAAGTACAGAATCCTAGTTACAGGATGTAGGCATGCGCAGAAGCCAAAATTCCTCGCTAACGCGTGAAATACGCTTACCGTAAGCTCTAGTAAGCAGAGATTTTTCGCTAACGGTAAGCTGTAGAGCCAAGAAATTGGGCCCACATTTTTCTTAACATATCCCTTACAATATCACCGAGCAAAATTTGCTCAACCGCAACTGTTCATTCATGACCGATGAGCAATAAACTCACCACCAAATGCAGAAAGAAAAATGTCAAAGCGCCCTCGCTTGTTGTAGCTATTGACATCGCTGACAAATTTTGGCAGACAAGTGTTTCGCTCGTACCCCCCGCCCTGCAAACAGGACGCTGGGATACGCTGATGAGCTTCACAGAATCTTGTGAAGGAAGTGGCCTATGACCTATGTACAAAGCATCTGGCTGCAGCTGTCGGACCGCAGTTAGACAATGTGCGCAAATGCTATCCGAAAACTTCCCATAGAAATGCACACGTTCCATACCGGATGTGATTTCTGTTTCATTGTGGACCATGTGGACAAAATTTTCAGCGTCGCATAATGCAATCCGACCGTTCGTCCTTCGAAACGGAGCCTGAGCAAGTGACGGGAATTGTACATTTATAATACAGATGAGTTCTACAAAATTTCCTACATTATTACGCTTTTCAACGAAAAATTAAAAAAAGATCTCTAAACTGGAATAAAAGAGTAATACCAGTCTTAACGGCCGTTTCAAACCTTGCAGAGTCATGACCGTGATGACGTGCAGGTCACAGGTCGCGCAAAATCCAACCAAGAGAGCGTGAATTCATCAGAGTATCCCAGCGTCCTGTTTGCAGGGCGGGGGTACGAGCGAAGACAAGTGCCAGTATGATGGGTCACGTCCGACAAAAACACAAGCATGGCACCAACGTACATGTAGTATGAAAAAAGCATTCATCATCCTCATCAGTTCTTTTGAATTTTGAAATGACATCTTGGTACCTGAAAATATTTCATTATACGTTCGTAAACAGATGCATTTACTGCCACTGGCTTTATGTTATGAACAAGTGAAATAGGGCAAAAAATAATGCCATGCTTAAGTTCCTAATTTTAAAGAAAGAATGCGGTAGAAATCTTACATTCGACCCCTTCCCCCAAGATCTCCGCCCCTGAAATGTATCGTGGAATGGATCGCTTGTACGTAAAGCGCTCGCCTCTCACCACTGAGGCCCTGGTTTGATTCCCGGCTAGGACCATACGTGAGTAGAGTTGTGCGTTGGTTCCCTCTTGTGTCACGAATGTGCCCTTCGGTACTCCTCTCTCTGGAAAGATTAAACTAAACATTTTCGATCTGTGCTCCGTGGCCATAATGGGTCGATGTGGCTGGCTTTCAAAGGCGCCTTTACCTACCTGCGGCTCGACCACGCCGAAGCCGCGACTTTCACAATTCAGCTTCTCAGCTACGATTAAGGATGATTAGCCTTCCGAATTATGTTTATGTTTTTAAATTGCGGGGAACGGTACCTTAGGGGGGACATTCCCATAGGGTTGTACACACACCTTTTCTACTTTAATTACCCCTTACCCCAACCGAGCAATGTATTGATGTAGTCTATGATTATGACAGGGAGTCTGCTATGACCTTGCACGTACCGTGGTACGTACGGTGTGAGACGCTTATATCGTTGGTATCCACGCTATTTTCACCATGTTTTCACACATGAGTGGGAGCAGCGAACTAGCAGACGATCAGCTGTGTCAAACACGCGACATGCATGTGAGTTGCCGTTTGAACGATGTCAGAATTGGTGTGATTACTGCTGTTTGTTTTCGTGAATTTTACATCAAATTCCAAAGAATCCAAGACAGAGGTATAACAAAACATTATTGTTGACCGCTGCGATGTGGGATATGACGTTTTGAACACCCTCAGGGTGCATAGCACCACCCTCGGCTTCGCCTGGGGTGCTACGCGCCCCTCGGGTGTTCAAAATTTCATATCCCACATCACAACGGTCAACAATCGTTAATTATCTTCAAGCAAACGTGAATCTGTTTGCTAGCAATATAAACTTTATAAAAAAAACAAGGTGGACATTTATGTGTAGTGGATTGGCTTTATGGTTTCACGTATTCCCCTCCCAAACAAAAGAAAAGAAAAACACATTTCTTAAAAAATACACACATAGATAAATATGACAATGAGCATGGGAATTATCTTGAGCGCGATATGAACCTACGATGTCCGGATTACTGGTGTTGAACACTATACTATCTGAACCGTTCAGCATTGTCGATTTTTTTAAGTAAGGAAAGAGAAGAAAAATAAATAAACAACAGCTAAGAAATAATAGGGGAAAAACAACAACTAACAAAAAACAAACAGAAAGACAAATCAAAAACAAAACAAACACAAAACCAAAAACCCAGAGTATTTCTTCATTTTCCTACACTTTTAAGGAAAGAATACATGCACAGAATTATGTCATTTTAAAATTACTTTCATGGCCCTGAGACCACATTCTTTCAATATATAGCAATTGTAACAAACTGCCTTCTTTGCATTGAGATGTGCGAGGGCGCTACACAATAGTCAAAAGTCCAGTGGTAAACAAGTAGTCCAAAAACTCGAATGTCACGTTAAAGATTAATAGATTTATTCTTTGAAAACTGATTTGACGTCATCATGACGTCATCACGTGACATGTTAGGTCATAAATCAAAGCCCTATGAAAATGTAATCACATTATAATATACCACCATTTGTTATAAACAGAACTACACATCCTTCCTGTATGGATGGAACTTATACTTGAAACTTGACACATGTCACAAAAAAAGTTGCCGAAACAGCCCTGTGTTTGTCCACAAACAAATGTCTAGTTTTATTTTGTTTTGGTTTGTTGATGTGCTTTGTCGTTCGTTTCTTATACGTCTTATAGACACTATGGACCTCTCCTGGACGATTTAGTCTCTGTGTTGCTCCGTGTCGAACCCGAGCGACGCCCCTCTGCTGACCAAATTCTGTCTATCCCTGGAATCCAGAATTACGTGCTTGCGTTTACCGACCAATGCAAGAACCAATGTTCATCACCAGGTATCATGAGGGAATGGAGTCAGAGCTCAAACCACAAAGACGAAAATGTTTTTCGAAACGAACAAACTTCAGCTGTGACAGCTAGGAGACACTCATTCACATCTATTGCAACTGAGCAGATTTTCTGCGCCCAGTCGACTTATAGCAAAGAGCGGCACCAGTCAGTTAGAGATCGTATGGGTGAATGTGAACTCGCTCAGCGTGGTACTGTTCTAAAAGTTCAAAGTGGTAACAAAGAAACAGCTCGTGTCATTGCAGGTGGACAATTTCGACACGTGCATTGAACACTGGTTGGCAACATCGGGTTATAAGCACTGTATACCGAACTCCTAATAAGGTAAAACCACTAACGGAATACCAAGATTGTACAAAAGGATCAACTGATCGTACAGCTTTCCAGCAAAGCAGTTTGTTAGCATATGGAGTAAACGGAACAGATACTGAAATATCAGACGGAGAAATAACTTCTGTTGATGCTGAAAATTCCAGTAACACGTTGAGAAAAGACTTTGTGCAGGGAAAGATAGTAAGTCTTTCAATAATATAATAAGTTTTTCGGGTTTGCATCGGAAAAAAAACACCCACTTTTCGTTTTTTTAGTGGGGGAAAAAACCTGTCGATTAACTATAAAAAAATAGGCATATATTGCCGAGTGTTCATAGTTGTCCGTTTTATTGATAATTGTACAGGAAATATGTCAGAACAAGAAAGCAAACCTGAATGACGATCTTCAACTAAAAATGCCGATTACGAACCTCTTCGATTTTGAGTGCAACGGAGACAACTCGGTGACGATAGGGTCACTAAAGGAATCGACGTACGTCTTGGATAAGCCATCCGTGATATGTGTCAGTAATAAAGAAAGCAACAAGAGACGCCCAAGTGTTATCACCAAAGTAGTTCAAATTCCAGAAAGGTGTGATGGAAACAGAAGGAATATTTTCCACCCTCGAAGTAGTAACAGTGATTTAGAAGGCACAAAAACAAAACATGAGTCTCGTGAAGATAAATTCTCCTGTGCTCGTGGCAACTGCAATTGTGATCTTCGTGAGTGTTCAGCCAACGCTCAGCACAACGGAGGCGTCTTAGCGGACTTGAACGAATGCTTGTTTCGTAGCAGGATAAGTACCGGGGATTCGGCAAGAGAAGTTCGTGGCAAAATTGAGACATTTCGCGCCTACCTGGAAGAAAAGATCGGGGTTGAATTGTCTTTTGCATGTCTGAATGCAATCAGATCTGTGTCCGGTGGAAAAATGCACCGGTTCGTGTCGGATGATATTGCACTGAAGAGGATGGGGGGAATATCTTGGCAAGGACAAAATGCAATTTGCACCGGCAGTGTTGTATTTGCATAATTTGGAGCAAAGCTGTGATTTGCTTCCTGAGTGATTACACCATGATAGAATATTTGCATAATATTAAAACAATGCAATAGGTTGTCTGAGCGATAAAACGAACAACAATCTACTAACCTGTATATCATCACAGTTAACAGAAATTGGGCGCCCCCTCCCCCACTGTAACATCAAGCCCCACCCCCCCTCGCCCGTCTATGGTGCGAAGCCAGGCTATGCCAGTGTCTAGGGATGGATGACAAACATAAAGGACAATTAAACACAAACGTATGGGAAGTAAAACAGTTAATCTTTCCTTCTATTCCTTATTAATATTCAAAGTTGAGTGATAATTGTTTTTCACACATTGTGGAATTGGTCGTTCGAAATGTTTTTGTTGTTAGGAAAATGTATACATTTTATGGGGATTTTTTTTACGGATATCGGTTAAACTTGAAATATGAACACTCACACTGGGATAGCCAGTCAGAATTAATCAAGCTCTCTTTCCGACACCACCAACACATTGCTTGTGACTAATACCTAAAAAGACATTTCAAGATAGGTTCTCCTTTTTTAAGCTTTCAACTTAATTTTTTTCAAATTATATTTCTTTTACTTTGTGCATTAATAATCGGCCATTAATTTCGGCAAATACTGGATTTTTTTTGGTAACGTTTTACTGGTTCACTGCCATAGGTTTGTACCTATTGTCATTGCTTTTGTGTCATCAATACCGAATGTGAACAAGAATGTGAATTTCAAATTGAATGCCAATTTCAAATTGAATGCCAATGTCAAAATTGTCAATTGTTTTTCTTCTAAACACCCCCAGGCCAGCACTGTGACACAGTTGAGAGCATATAGGGATGAGATCGTAAGACTGTTTTCCAGACTTCGTATGAAAAACCTCGGAATATCTGCCACTCTTGTAATTTTCCAAACTTAAAGGCATTGTGTTATATTGACGACATCTGTTATACAGTTCACGTACATCTTTTTTTCTGTAAATATGATCTCGAGGTAAACAAAAAGAAGTCCTTGAACATTCGTAGATATTTTTTTACAAATTCAATTATTTATGTATTTTTAAAAATTTGATAACAATCGAGGTAAAACTTTTTATTTTTGAACTATACAAAACACGTCTATCTACTGAAAGTACTTTTTAATATGAAATAAACTATTTATTAAATAGAACATTTTTTTCGTTGTCGTCTTTATCGTGTGAAGTTTGGTTTGAAATTGCAGACAGGAATTAATTTTGGATGCATGTAAGGTAGAGTGGGGGTAATCCCGACCACCTCGATAACGGCTAAATAGAGGTTTGTGTTTGTTGAGTTACAAACGCAGAGTGGTCGTGCAGACAACTACTGCATTTAACACAGCCTAGTTTAATTATGAATATGTTCTTCTTGTCAGAACAAAGGATCACGAATTTTATCCTTTCCAGTACAACCAATTATTTTGTTTTAAAAAGATTATGATAAATTTCAGTATACATTTTTATGTACACGTGCATGTCATTTCTGGTTTGATTACGCCATCAATTAAACAAGGGAAGTGAATACCGATTTAATTTGGAGAGGATACATGTCCACAATGAACTAAAACAACGTATGAAAAATATGGAAAATATAAGTGTACGTTTTAATAACAGCTAACTTCCGGTTTAATGAATTCACAACATTAGGAATCCAAACGTCAACATTGTAACGGATATGACTGTTTGGGCTACACCAACATAGCCGTAAGACGGGGATCAAAAATTAATGATAAAATTAAATAAACAAAATAGTTCTTAAATTCTCCCTAAAGTAACTTCTGGTCTGATGACGTCATGATTTTGACACCTTGCAAAGTTATCCGTGGTTAATCAAAGAATATCTCGGGGAGAATTTGGACGGATGTTTTCAATTCAATTCAATTCAATATAACATTTATTTGTATCCAACCATGAATAAAATACAATTCATATAGCATGTACAATAAAGGAAAGTAAATATAAATTGTGTCTTGGAAAAACAAATAAGTAAAATTGTAAATGACAAAGCAATTAATTCAAGCCATAACTTAAGCCTTAGCTTGTCAACGGCAGGTGCTAAAAGCATACTGAGACCACTATAAAGCAATAAATGAAACACAAAACGTTCGTTAGTAAAACAATTGTAAACACATAATATTCAGTCAATAACAATGCAGTTAAACGGGTAATTAATAATCAAGCGTTAACTATCAAAAGTAGGTACGCAAAAAGATAAAGATCAAATATAAGTGTATATATAAATAGTACAGGCTAAATTATATAATAACAAAATAGGGAGGATATAGGCATACTTCCAAAGCAAGGCTTGTATGGAAAGCCTTTGAGACACAAAACAAACATCAGACACTGGGGAGCACTGAGGAAACAGCGTACTACATGTTATGAAGATATTGAGCAATTAACAAAGTGATATAAACAAGAGTTTTCAATTTAAAACAAACCCACTCTATTGGATGTGTCACTATAGGACGCCCTTTCAGACGATGATGTCATCGGACTTTTTTTGTATCTGGCATTCCTCATTAAACACTTCCATAATTTATTTGTATATGGCAAAATGCTTCAGACCTACTTTGGCACTGACATTTAAAAAAAAAATCAAGATTATATCTCTCAAGTTGATTTTTCAGCAATTTTCAAAGGAATAGAGGTCTTTTTATTCTAGCTTCCGATCTGATGACGTCATCAACTTATAGACATGACATTTGCTATTGCGCCTGTGAGCAAAATGCTGCGCGTATAGAATAACTAAGAAGTATGCGCGTAAATCGAAGCCCATAGAAATAGAATAAAAAGACAAGATCGGCAGCGCGTGCATACGCGCCATAGAGTGTGCACAACTTTTCCCGTTCCCGCATGGACGCTCTACGCGCAGTAGTGCGTGGGGCAAAACGTGCGTTACGCCCACCTAAATTCCCGTAGGTTTGTGCACAAACTTGCATTTTTATGTCCGTAAAAGTAACATTTTTGACCAAAACAAAATTCAATATGCATTTTCAAGCTGGATAGTCGCCTCGAAGTTTGCTCCGTTTTCTCCTCGTATTTATTTTTTGTTTTAAAATGGTGGTGCGCGTTGCTCAAAAATCTCCAAATGTCAGCTTATCTGATGAAATTGTGTATAAAAACATTGATTTTTTTTTAACAATGAAAAGGAAAACGTAGAATGTAAAAACCAATTAAAATTAGGCCTAATTACCGTTGAATTATTTAAAATTAAACTTGCGAAATGTTTCAATGGATGATTTTAGAGCTTTGTGTTACAATATCTTATTATCCTTTGAGATGAGAAAAAATGTAGTTGGATTGCATTTTATATGTATGACTTTAAATGACAACAATTGCCCCTGAAAATCGTTTCAAGAATCAAATTAAATTACACTCCCATATTATGTTCTGGCATCTGAATGGTTCGGCGGATTCGAACCTTTTGGGAGGATGGTTTGAGGGATACGGATGATGGATGTGTTTGTTGTGCACATTTCGAAAAAGCGTCGGGGATATTTGACCTCAATTATTCAACGCTAAGACAGAGTGGTGGCGTGGCTGGGAGAAGGGGGGGGGGGCATTAGAAGATGGCAACATAGAGATCATAGAGATCTTAAAAGCGAAATCGGGAAAGCTGATAAAGCGAAATCGGGACGGTGAAAGTTATAATCTTGAAACGGGCAATACACAAAACCACTGCTACTCATAAGGAAACGAGACGGGTAAACCGTACGAACACTTTTTAAAAATAAATATAATTAACTCCTCAAGTTTATTTACATGTGCTCTACCCATTTTGTGCAATATTGTGAGATTCTTACGCCTTCTTGAATATTTCCAGATGCTGGATATGCCACTAGAGGAGAGCATCATAACACAAATGTATTTTTTTTCCTATTTTTTGGTGAATGACTCGCGGCCGGGGATGGGCGTGCATCCTGCAGTGGCCAGCATCCAACAGTACAAAACTGTATCTGATAACAGCGTATGTCATGTCCCGAGGAGGAACAATGGAGTGTTGTCCCTTAAAACTGAATTTAAATTGAAGGACAACGCAACAACTACGGAAAAAAGACGTTCAAAATGATCATCATTCTGTTTGTTGATGAAGAAAATAGCACGCGCCCCTGGAGCAGCCTCGACTCCAGGGGCGCGTGATCGTTCCTTACACTAACCCCTGGCTGTGATGATGACGTAAATGACGCTGAATGGCTATTCACAGCGTACTGCGCGGGCATTTCGAAGATTGCACGCCGGGCGCGCCCATAATGCGCTCGCGCTCGCGTGCTTAGCTTTGCACGTAACGTCACGTACGAAAAAAAAATAATGATTCAAAAGTCGCGATGCCTGTACGATATGGATTATGTCAGCCGCGTTTTCCGCTAAAAAAACCCTTGTATCTGTGGTTGTGAAGGCACAAAAGGGGTACGTACATTTAATACAAATCTTTGCTAACAAACACAACGTCCAAACGTTGTGTTTGAAAGGATTGATTCTTCAAAATCACAACTTTAACATTTTAAAGATGGCGTCGGCACGTAAAATGGATAAACTGCAGCCCTAATTATAATATACCGTATTTCGGTATATTTAAATTACACAATTCCAGGGGTTATGATCGCGCAAGGCATGATGGGAAACAAGATGGCGCTGCAAGATCGTACCCACGGGGCACGAGGTTGCCCCTGGAATCGAGGCTGCGCGCAAGGCATGATGGGAAACAACATGGCGCTGCAAGATCGTACCCACGGGGCACGAGGTTGGTTTTGGGCGTATCGGCTTCGATGACGCACCGGTATGGAATACAAACGCAGATATACAAATATCCGTACAAAAGCCGTACAAAAGTTTGAGCTTCACAGCGTATCCGCGCGCAAGGACGAGGAGTTAGCGCTCTAGTAATTAGCTTTATACAACACCTGAATAAATCCCTGTCATCTGATTGGTGGATCGTTGATCACATGTCATTGAATTATTCGTCCCGACCATAGGGTGCGTTCGATTAGCTTACACGTGTATACGCGGGGTTACACTCAGGGAAAGCCACGCAATGAGGCTAATCAAACGCTGCGGTGTATTCGCCTGGCATGCTGGGAAAATGAAGGTCAAAGGTGTTAAGGGGCCGGGGCCAAATGTGAATGTACACACAGCGTCGTCTGCTCACCGGGAAAATAGAGATGCGGCGATCCGGCTAATTTAATTAGCTCTAGATCACTGCAATACGATAAATTAATGAGAGAATCAATAGATTTGCTCCAAATTATCGACAAGTATGTCATAAAGACCGATGTTAACGTGAATTTCATCCTAAATCGTTTGGAATTCGTTCCAAAAGTTGAGGCATTTTCGGCATGAAAGAAGTTCATTTCATAAGCTTGTTATTGATAAATTGAACTTAGGCCTTAATATCGAGAGTCGAGTCCATGACAACAAATTGCAGACAAAACCCGTCAAAAATATTGCCACAGTGTCTTTTTTTTATATTTATTGACACACTTTCAAGAAATACATTTAGAAAAAAAACCTCCCATTTGCCTATTAAAGTATATAACTTATTGCTTCAGTCTACAATCATTGGACATTTCATAACTTGAAAAACGTTTTTTCTTGCATATCGTGCTTCTCGAAATTGAAAATAAAAAAATTGTCTGTGCATCATCCATGGATTATAACTATTATTTCAGTTTTCATTGTTTTTGACACTCTAAACTTATTTAGTGCTTACAAGATTATGTCAGTACATGATAAAGATCCATTTATTAGTCATTAATACCTCCTTTATTCATAAAAAAAAACAATAAGTAAATTTTCTGTTCAGGGAAACAAAAAAGCAACTGTTTAAAGATATGTGTATATAGCCGACAAATAAATACTTCTTTAATATATGAACACATTATTTACAAAATATCTGAACAAACATTGTATTGTGTGTTCGAGGGCTTAGAAGAAAAAAATGCACATACATTGTATTGACATGGATGGGACTCACGTCTTTGGATCTTCATAATAAATGGGTGTCTTGTGTATGTTCTTCCAGTCAAAAACTATTTATAAATTTATTATAATGTGTTGAAATATCAGAAAATCAAATTGACTCGAACATAAATTTGACTCAACTTGACCACAAACTGTGACTCAACTCGGCCTTCTTGACTAATTAATGACTCAACTCAACAGGAGTAACTTTCTGATAAGGACTCAACTGGACTCAAGTCACAAAACTCAGTCTAATGAAATGTGTCCAGTTAGTTGTTTTTAGTGCATGAAAATGAATTTTAGTCGATGCAATCTCTTAATTGTAAACTGAAAGAGTCAAAGTTCAAGAAGCCTGTGAGTAATTTTTTTTTTAAAGAAATAGGCATTCCAGCAGCAAAGTACGTGTGAGGATAAACCCAAAAGCTTGAAAAGATCATATAGGAATTTCATCCAGGCTTGCACAAGAAAAGGCAACTCACACAGCCACTTCAAATGCCGCGGCTAGCCTGAGCCAGGATTTGTTCAGTGTTGGGGTTGGAGGGCAGGGGAAGGCACCATCTTGTTTTTAGGGGACACCAAGGGTGGACCCAAGAACATTTTCCCCTAAATTTCAGGCCACTGCAAGTGCTGCAAATTCGAAAAGCAGGGCGGGGAGGGGGGGGGCGGGCTGGACCTCTTTTGACTCTTGACCGCTTTCTTTTTCACCGGTGAGGGCTTCGTTTCCTTGAACACCTCCAATAGATGAGATGTCTCTTGAAATCTGCAAAAATAAAAAAGAGGAAATGGGTGATATTTCTCAGGGATTAAAGGAATATGACTATGTTTTACAATGCAATTGTGGGAAAAGAATAATTTACTGACAGTTTGTTGTGAACATTCACCTCGGTTCAAAGACTGTTTTCTGGATGGCTTCTATTAGAACCTCCACTTGGATCATCTGATATTTGAAGTGTAATAACTTTAACATTTTGTCAGACCATTTAAGCTACACAACTGCACACACTTGGGGTGCAATGCAAACATGCTCTATTTGACCTTTCAAGTGACTTTGTTCATGGAGCGCCTTGTACTACAAAATATCACAATTGATCCTGCTACAAATGGAATGCCTTTCACACAAAGAGAAAAACTATGATTACTACAGATCTCTTTAAGCTTTTCAGTTTATCCTCAAAGTTTTCTGCTGGAATGCCAATTTCTTTTTCAATTTTAGTTTTCACACCGGCTTCTTTACTTTGACTCTTTCAGTCTGCCTTCATACCTTGCCATTATTTTGATCAGTTGTCATGGTTCACCATCCCATCATTCATGTGTGGTAGCAGATGACGTGGTTTGTTATCCTGAAATCGAGGAAATTACAAGACATGCAAGAGTCATAAAATCACATTGACTAAAATTCACTTTCATGCACTAAAACAACCAACTGGACACATTTTTTAAAACTGAATGTATATAGATAATTACGGACCACAAAATTCTACATTATGCAAATTCTAAGGAGAATATTAAATGTCAGTTGACTATCAGTTATTTTCCAACCATTTATCCTATTTAGAGATATTGACAAGAAAATCAATTCATAAAGAGTCAAAATCGCTCCAAATTTAAAATGCAAGTATCTGTAGCACAACGTACTATTGCGGGTGACAGAGCACCTTCTGATTAAGAGAGAGTCTACTTAGATTTCCTGTGGAAAAAAAAACTACTGTTGATTAGGGAAACTTGAAAAGGTCCAACGTGATTGATGTTCTAATGTGACATATATTTGGATTCTTTGGATTTTTGGTAAAAACCAGTGTTGTAGTACTCCTACTCGGTACTCGAGTACTTCTCGAGTACTTTTTTAAGTGTACTTGTACTTGAACCGGTACTCGCATGTCAAAGTACTCGTACTCGAAATGACGGTACTCGTACTCAGGCAGCAAAGTGCTCATACTCGACATGTCGAAATTGTACTCGATCATCAAAGTATTCGTACTCGAATAGCGGCCTTATCTTATCGATACTTACAGTTTGAAATGGTGGATTGGCTGCGTTTGTGGAGTAATCGAAGTTTCCTGATTTTCCTCTGTGAACGTCCGGACAAACACATTTAACAGCAACCCGGGAGTAGGTTTGTATTGCCCTATGGCCGTATTTGGAAATAGAAGTACTCGTACTCGGAAGTACTCATACTCGTACTCGTACTGGGAAGTACAAGTACAAGTGCTCGGAGACCTGTACTCGGAAGTTCAAGTACTCATACTCGGCAACGTAAGTACTCGGCAGTACTCGGTACTCGGAAAAAAGTACTCGTCTACAACACTGGTAAAAATGTATTTCATGTCATGTGGTAAAATGTTTGCTTTTTTGGGGGCAAAAATAACCCAAAATACAAAGATGTACCTTTTTTCAAAAAAATGGAGATTAATAAGTGTTTACCTGAAGCAGCTCTTCATGATGTTTCATAAAACAAGTTTCGCACACTGAATCTGAAAGAAAACAAAGCAATAAAACAAGAAACATTTAGAGCTCTACTTTTCAACGGTAATTGGAATAGCATAGCTGACTATTCAGTATTTTCCCAGGCTGTCAACAGAAAAACTTTAGGCCTATTGTCAGATGCCACATTTTGTTGACAGTAACTTTTTTGTTGACATCATTTCATTGTTTCCATCCTAGGTTAAAGCAAATGACTAGTTATTGTAAATTATTTATTGCAAAACACTCGTGTGGCATGCAAATGTTGGACAGGTACAGTGTGCTTTCTGCAGGCAAATGGCCACTTGTGTAAAATTGAAGCCAAGTTTTGAATGTTCAAATAGGTCAAATGCAGTTTCAAATAATCAAATACTAAATTTTTCGAAAATGAATGGCCTTAATTGTAAACACTAGTGTGTATGTGTGAACAATCATATTTAAATATGAAAAAAAACAAATATTCAAAATTTTAACTTCAAGAATGAAAAATTCTGGAACAGGTTTAAGGTCAAATATTTAAAACTACTATAACTTCACCATAATTTGTAGGGCAATACCCCCCTCCCCGTGCCTTTAAAAATATGTTTTGGCTATCATTACTGCAGTCGTAATGCAATTTTCAACTGCTATCATTACAAGGCAGTAATAACATTAGGATTTTTAACTGTTGGAAATAGACTACAATGATATATCAACCGAATGGTTCTCAGGCTCTATCTCTCCCTTAAAACATCCTCCCAAGCCACTGATTACAATTACAACGAAGACAATTAAATCTTTTTAAATACAAAGAATGATTCGATTAAAAACGTAAAAGTAAAAACAACCAGGAGTCTACTCTAGTCTAGCTAGGACCCAGCATTATTATTAAACAGGAAAAAACAAATAAAAAACAAAGAAGGAAACTGCTGCAATGCTGAACGACAATAGTTGAAAACTGCATTACGGCTGCCGTAACAATAGTCACTAAATTTTGAATTATTGTTAGGCTAACTCCTTTTTCTTCAAAGCCCGGCCCTGTTATTAACAAAATAATACTTAAGGCCTATATACTGAACCATCGCAAAGAACGTAGTATCATACTATCCAGACACCACTTATTTATATCATGGAGAGTTAAGTGCATTTTCAGACTCCTTTTTTTAACCATCGCTATTGTTACGGCAGCCATCCGGCCATGACCGGTCCATGGCTAGTGCCGTACCGCGATTTTCGACTGCTTTCGGTCCGACATCGGCCTAGCTATAGCAGCCAACCGTCGGGTTCCGTCCCTGAAAATAAACGGACCATACAACTTGCACATCCAAGTTTCCAATTTATTTTGTCTGATAAATAAACTTTTCTTTCCATTTGCGTCATAATCTGTACATTTGTACTTACGTCGCGGCAAATTCTGCCGGCCATGTTTACTTTTTGCGAAGTCGGGCTAGCCCGTTACGTCATTACACCGGGACTTCCACCAGAGACCCGCTCGCCAGCTCGGGTACTGGTGTATGACACCGGAGCAGACACGAGAATCACGTGATGGCTAAACGAACGCTCTCGTGTAAGGGAAACTTACACGTGTAAGCTAATCGAACGCACCCTATAGATATCTATGGTCCCAACGCACGGTGCGCGCGTGGCGCGTAGCGCACAGTGCAATGGAAGTTCTATTGCGCGCTGAATAGAACTTCCATTTCACGGTGTCACTACTGCTGTAGCCTTTCGCCAAGGCCATCGTGGCTTAGAGTGGCGGAGCTGCGAAATACATGAAGCGACTGGAGCAAAGATTAACGAGTGGCGCAAGCATGTGTGGTCTCCCGCTCCAGTCGCTTCGCGTTTTCGCCGCTTTGAGCCACGATGGTCTTGACGAAAGGCTACTGCTGCTGCTGGTGGCGCTGTTTTAAATCGAGATAAATTGAATATGACTGTTCTCAGCCTATTGAACAGTTTGATTTAATATGATGAACTTGTCGAACTTTTAAACAGTTTTTAACCCGAATAAATTGGCTATTCATAAATACCTAAGACAGTTTACGCATTTCTATTGGTCGAGAGCCCGTCACGTGGCTGGTCTTAAGCGGATGATAAAGACATGGCTAGCTGGTCTTAAACACTTTCCCAGTGGCACATAAAATTTGGACTCCCATGAAATCCGATCCCTTTTAACGTTTCATTGGTTGAACGTTCACATTCCTCACGCATGCATGCGCTCACGTCGTAGTCCGAAATTCACACTACACCAGTCCAGCTGCGTTTTGCGCGACATCGCGCAGTACGCGCGACACGCACGCCAAATAAATTATAAGGTAACAAGTTGTGGAGGGGCATTCCATGTGAAAGTGAGAGTGCTGTTTCGTATAACACGAAGTAAAATTGTTGAACAAAATGGTTGGCAACGTCTAGTTTTGCCCTTTTTGAATTTTGGACCAAAAGGATTTGGTTTTGTTGACCGAAAAGGTATTGATGAATGGGAATAAATATGTGTTCGGTCGGTATTAAAAACTCCATTTAAGACCAGTGGGCGTCTGGATGGGTGATAATTACCCTCGGCTTCGCCTCGGGTAATTATCACCCATCCAGACTTCCACCGGTCTTAAACAGAGTGTTATATAGGCCTGCCTCCCGCACACACATTTATTCCCTTATTAAAAGTCAACCAATCAGATGTCAAAGATTTTGTTCAGGCGTTACATAAAACAAATAATAACGTTTCACGTTCGTGCAATGGAAAGAATAATTTCCTTCGGTGACAGATGAAATAGATACAATCATTTTCGCCTCGAGGAATGGAACATTTCATCTGCCACCTCATGAAATTATTCTTATCATTGCACTCACAAACATTCATTATTTACTATGGTTTAGCTCCATTAATTAACGTTAATTTATTGCGCGTCGACAAGAGATAACAAAAAGGGCAGACATTCATCGCACAGAGAACGGGCGCATATTGACGCGCTGCCGATCTAGTTTTTTAATATTATATCCATCGATCTCAATACAGACTGGATAGGACAGTGTGTCCGAACAGCGTCTGTATGTATGGAGATCAATGATTGTATCTATGAGCATAGCACGAATGGAACCGGAAGTTAATGCACCTCGAGCGTTTATCCAATGTGCGCTAGTATACAGAAATGAATGTTCATGAGTGCAATGCGAAAATTTTTAGGAGTTGAAAGATTGAATGTTCCATTCAACGAGGCCATTTCAACGAATGAAAATATTCTCACCATTGCACGAATGCAAAACATTCATCATTTGTTTTATATAACATCCAAGTAGATCTTTGTTGTTGGATTGGAGGATAAAACTTTAAGAACAAACAAAACTCACAAAATTGTATCATGCCTACTATCTTTTTTCAGCTTGTTAAGGCTAACAATTAAGGTTTAAAAGTCAAATCATTGACAATAATGAAAATTATGAACATTGTAGGTTCTTAAAATAATGCAAAAATCATCAAGTTAAAGATATATTCCATCATTTGTAATTTGTGCATTTTGTTCGTTGAAGCAACAACTTGTTCAAAATCTAATGAAGGATACTGAACAACTAACCTGATGAAGTTTCAGCTCAGCTTCAGCTATATATTCCGAGAAAAACAGCATTATAGGATCTCAATTTCAAATCAAAAGTTGCTGAATCATGTTTTGAATTGGGCCTGAATTCAGCGTCCGAGACGCGTTCTCACTGAGCCGATTGCAGCTATACGCGATGTCGCACACTGATCCGACGAATTATAGCAACCGCGCGCGCGTGTGCGTCGTACCAATGCTTGCGCGCTTTGCCGAATAACAAAACGAACTTCTAATCTAAATTTTCCTACGGTGCGTCTTAAGACGCACCGTTGGAAAGGCCTTCTTTTGTTGATTACTTCAAAATGACAGCTTGCCAGAAAGAATAATTTCACAGGGAGTTTAGTCGCCTTACTATCTTTCAACCAAGTATGTTTTTCAACAATAATTACGCCAGTTACTTTTCGGATGGCTGCAAATGATGGACTATAGCTTTAACTGCTTCAACTTCAAAGGCACGTTTTCCACTGCTATAACGCATAATGGTCTAAATAGCGTATAGATCGTATAGCGCGGGGCCACTGCGCGTCTTAATTATAGCGTGCGCGCGGCGTGCAATAGATCAAAAGGGATGGGACGAAAATGCACTAATGGAACCAAAAATGCACGGTTATGACGCAGGCCGTGCAATGGTTCGATTAATAAATGCTTACAATCCTCCAATCAAATGACAAGGATTTACCTGGGTTAATTATCAGTGGCGCGCGCATATATGACTTTTTACCATAGATATATAATAAAAAGACTAGATCGGCAGTGCGTACAGACGCGCGTTCTGCCATGGGCGGCGCCATTTTTCAGTGCGTTGGGCAAGAGTTGCCTTACACGCAACTTTATTTCTGCAGGTTTGTATGGAAAGGTATATTTAATGTCCGTAAAAGCAATATTTTTTACCTGTAGTAGTTATTTCCCCTACAAAGTTTGGTCCATTGTATTCCTCGTATTTAATTTCCGATTTAAAATGCTGGTGCGCGTTGCTAAAAAAGTTGTTTAAGTGCTATTTGCTTGAGAATTAAAACAGAGTACATGTATAACCCCCTAACCTCCTTCAGCTTACAGAATGATGATCATTTTGAACGTCTTTTTTCGAAGTTGTTGCTTAGTCGCGGCAGTTTTTTAGGGACAACACTCAGAACATGTTTTCTCCATTTTCCCTCCTAGGGACATGACACACGCCGTTATTTGTACTGTTGGATAGGGGGGGGGGGGGGGAATGCACATCCCTCCCCCAGCTCTTCACCAAAAACAAATAGAAAAAATAAATGTGTATTATTTTGCTCTCCCTTATGCGTATCCAGAATCTCAAAATCTTCAAGAAGGCGCAAGAATCTCACATTGTTAAACAACATGGGACTGAGAGCACAATATAATAATAAAATTGAGGAGTTGATTAGATTTTACAAAATAAAAGTCGTACGGTTTACCCATCTCGTTTGCCTATGAGTAGCCGTAGTTTCATTTGCCCGTTGCAACGTTCACCTTCCCGATTTCGCTTCTGTCAGCTTGATTTCGCTCTTTAGATCTCCATCCTCCGTACCCCTCAACCCATCCTCCCAAAAGGTTCGAATCCGCCAATGCATTCAGCAGAAACATAATGGGAGTGTGATTTAATTCTATTCTCAAAACGCATCTTCAATTTTTTCAGGCCAGGGGCAATGCAATATTATTATTGTCATTGAAAGTCATACATATAAAATGTAATCCAAGTACTTTGTTCTTATCCAAGCAGGATAATGATATATTGTAACGCAAATCTCTAAAATCCTCTATTGAAACATTTCTCAATTGTTTTAAACAATGTTTTATATACAGTTTTATCAAATAACCAAGACTTTTAATTGGATATTTTTTAGCAACGCGCACCACCATTTTTAAACAAAAAATAAATGCTAGGCAAAAATGGAGCAAACTTCGAGGTGACCAGCTTGATAATGCATTTTGAATTTTGTTGGAGACATAATTACTACTGGTCAAAAATGTTACTTTTGCGGGCATAAAAATACACGTTTGTGCACAAACCTACGGGAATTCTTTCTGCGCGTAGAGCGTCTATGACAGGTGTAGCGTGAATATATCCAACTCCATGAAATATAGACTCATTGGTGGTATAGCGCATGCGAGAGTACGATGATATGCAGTTTTTAGGATCATAATGTAAGAGTGACCTGTCATGCGCGAGGGTTTAACCAATAAAAGGGAAAAAGGGTCCGATTTTCATAGGAGTCGGATTTTCATATGACAACGGACCGGGAAATTTGTGTACACTCTATGGCGCGTATTCACGCGCTGCCGATCTTGACTTTTTATTCTATATCATTGGTTTTTTTTTTACTAACGAACCGGATGCTACACCGTGTGCTTGAATTGAGTGACGTCACACTAACGAACCGGATTGATGTCAACCTCGTCCCCAGGGTGTCGAGCAGTACGCGCCCAGCACTACCTGTTCTCTGCACCCTGGTATTGGACCATTTGCACGTGCAAGATTTTTGAACACGTAAGCAAATGAGGAATAGTCTGGTGCCTGCATGTGCATTACCTCAGCGTTTGTTTTGTATGCGGTGTCTGGGGTAAAAACAGAATCAATTCGTCGCGCCGTGAGTTATGAAAACACGTTTTTTAAATTTAAAATGTAACAATCTGGCCCGCCAATATGCAATATCACATTTCATGATGAGCAAACAGGAAAGAAAAGGAGTGTTATTGATAAGGCGTGGACGTTATTATTACAATGATCGTGAAAACACGTAATGCACGTTGAAAATAACACCACCAACTACACGATATATCCATTATTAGCAAATTGCGGTATGGAATCAGGATACAGGAAGAGTTTCCTATACGAAGTTGGAAATAAAGTAAGCACTATGGACGAGGCTGGATTGATATTGTTTGAAGTACAAATCCTATTCATAAGTATGCGTACGATACACAATGCTTGTTGTAAAAAGCACACTTCTGCCATTAACAAGTTGCGCTATGTAAAACCACTTTCGCTAGAATATGTAAACAACTCTAGGG